TGTCAAAATACTGTTAGGCCTTATTACGAAGATGTATTGTAATTTATATTAGTAATAAATACCTAATTATTAACTTTATACATTGAATAATTCATAAAGTATATTATTGATATTTTTATACTATTAATACTGTTATTATTATCTTATCATCATCAACATTATCAATTTATTATCATTTTGTCATCTTAGACTGTCTTTAAGTCTCGGATCAAATCCCATCTTCCGAAAGGTCCACTGATTAATCTCATATGAGATAGTATAATACATACTCCAAGTATCGAAATGCACGCCATCGTGTCGGGATTCAATATTTCGACATAAATTACCGTATGTCATCATCGACATTAATTATGTCATCATCTTTTCACATTATTTTAATTATAAATAGTATACAAATTTGTATCAATTACTATTTGATATATCGAGTATATAATTTGCATTATGTCAAAATACTGTTAAGCCTTATTACAAAGATGTATTGTAATTTATATTAGTAGTAATTAATTTATTATTAACTTTATACGTTTGTATTGATTATTTCAATATTAAAGTATATTATTGATATTGTTTATATCATTAATACTGTTATTATCTTTCATCATCAACGTTATAAATTTGTTATTATTTTGTCATCTTAGACTGTCTTTAAGTCTCGGATCAAATCTTTTCCAAATTATTTTTAATTACTGATTTTATTAATTTACTTTTGGTTTTGTATTATTTTTTACGTCTATTGATTGTACTTAAGATGTGGATGTTCAGCGCATAGAGACGATTTGGCGTGATATGCGGTTTATTATCGTATCACCATTAGGCCTATAACTATGCCTATTTATTTAGGACTACACCGTGGATATTGTTTCAACGACTTCACACAAATATGAGGTGTTGATTGGTGGAGTTGGCTTGACAGTAACCCTTAACTTCAGTCCAGCTATCTTAATGCACTACGGTATATCGGAAGCATATCTATTTCCTTTTATTTATTATTTTGAAAGCCATTTCAAACACTGACTGTTTTCAAAAGCCCTTTAAAGACTTACCTCTTCAACTTACAATCTTACATTTTAATCAACATGTGCTTTGAGGTTATTTTTTGCATTAGGCGCTTATTATTAGTTATTATTATTATTAAGCCTATTATTATTATTATTATTATTATTATTATTATTATTATTATTATTATTATTATTATTATTATTATTACTATCTCAACCCAATAAAATTATGTATTCGAAATTAACTTATTTTTTTCTCTCTTTTGCGGGCTCATCTCACCTTTATTTGTCAACACTCTACTTAATAAACACAGCATGTATCGCTCGCTCACAATTACTGCAAATTTTAAAGAATATAAAATTATACAAAACAAATGTCCAATTCATTCGGAACTGATAAAAAATGTCATGCGTTAGGGTCTCACGAGATTGATGTCCTAGGTCTTAAGTACCTTAATATGGTTTTACTCCAAAATCGATTTAAATTTCCTTTAATTTCATATATTGCCAAATGTTTACATAAAGAAATTGATGTTGACATGTCAAAGTTCATAATTCACAGTCATAATGACAATGTTATATTTCTACATACTTCTATAGAACTAATCCACTTAGGTTTCACCTGTCAATTAATGTTCTCGTCTCTTTGACGAATTACCGCGTAGTATAAAGATGATCTGCAAATTAGTTTTAACCTATTCATTGCAGTTAATCTGTTTTTCCAACAAATCCAATTCTAGTTTTAATTCAAATCATTTTAATGATTTAAAGAATAACAAAACATATTTTATATATAGTTTTGCTATTCTTTTGTAAATGATAGCTTCAATATTTCTGTTGTACTAAAATAATATGGCAATAAATTTAATATTTTTATTGAAAGGGTCAAGCTGTGCTTCCAACGAATTTTGTTTTACATTTAATTAAAATTATGATAATTATTTTAATTGTAATAATATGC